CACACAAGACGGCATTGGCGCTTCGCGCCATGCACCTTGGTCCTTGAAGTTTGGTGTGCAGGCGGAATAGCAGGAAGGTCAAGCCGACAATTTAACGATAACTCCTTGTTGCCTCTTCCGGCATCGCCGCTATAATAATGTTATTCGTTATCCTTCCTCCATGCTTCTTTGTCTTCATTTTCGCCGTGCCCTGCGCATCCTCCCCATCCTCCGCAGCTCTTTTTTGCGGAGGCTCCTCCTTGGAGAGCCTCTAGGGGCCTAACAAAAGTTGTTTCAGGCTTTATTAAGTAAGGCCTTCTGGAGGCCTCCTGGGCGTATTCTGGGGGCATCTGGGGGCTTCCTCGGGCCACCCTGCCTCCAACAGCGGTCTCCCTGAACGACCGGGTCACGATTTGGAATGCTTCGGAGGGTGTCTTGGGGCCATCTTGAGCCGCCATGGGGCTCTCTGAGGGCCATCTTGGACCCGTGTTGTGCCGTTTTGGGGCTCTCTTGGACTGCCCGGAAGCCCTTTCGGATGGTTGTGGGGCGATTTTGGAGCTTCCCAGGCGGCTTGGACGCCCAGAAGACCGCCGTCTTGGAGCGTCGGGAAGCCGAAAAGAGGAGAACTGCCAAATTCACCAAAAACCAACAGAAAATCAACGATTTTGCCTCTTGGGGCCCTTCTTGGGAGTGCTCTTGGAGGCCTCTGTGGGACCGTCCTGGGGGCCTCTTGGGCCATCTGGAGGTCACGTCGGTCACTCTTGGAGCGCTCTTGCGCTGTCTTGGGGGTCTCTGGGACGTCTCCGATGGCCCCCCTGATCGCCTTAGGTGTGCTGGGAAGGCTTGGCAAAACGCTCTGCGAGGCCCGGGGGGCCGCTTCGAGGCCCGTCTAGAGGGTCCCAAAGCCCCAGATCCGGGGAGTCCAGTTTTTTGGGGGGGATGACTCCTGTCGCGTCCTGCCCGGATCGTAAAAAATATAAAAGGATTTGTTTGTTTGTGTGTGTGTATATATATATATATACCCGGTCAAATGATTAGGCCCCCCTCCAGGACGGGCGCCACCTACTTCGCCCCCGCCCCGATGAGCTCCAGACGGCCTCCAGACAGCTCCGAGAATGCTCGAAATTGCGGCCGAGCCAATCCGACTGGCCCCAGAGGGCTTCCAAGACGCCCAAAGATCGCTCCAAGATGCCCCAGTTGGCCCCAAGGCGGCCCAAGAAGCCTCCAAGACGCCCCAATAGGCCTCAAAGAGGTATCCCCAGAGGGCCCCCAGAGGCAAAACTCATTGATTGCTCGATGGCGTTTGGAGGTTTTTCAGGTTCTCGCGCGCGCCTTTCCCGACGCTCCAAGACGGCCGCGTGGGGCCTCCAATATCGCCCCCTGACGGCCCAAAAAGCTCCTCTGACGGCCCCAAGACGGCTCAAGATGGCCCAGTGCGGTCCAAGAGGTTTCCAAGACGGTCCAAGACGCCCTCCAGACGGCCCCACGAAATGTTTCGAAGGGGGATCCGACCCGACGCTTCGGCCCGTCGGCCCCAAGTTGCCCCCGGGAGCCCGAAGAGACCCAGAGGAAGCCCCCAAGAAGCCCCAAGAGGCCCCCAGTAGGCTCCGAATAGCCCCCCTATGAGGCCCCCAAACGGCGCCCGACAGGCTTGCAAACAATTTTAAGCCGGGGGTTCACGGGGATTCTTCGCGCTGCCACCCTCTGCCGACAGACGCGCGGAACAAGCGCGCGTAGCCCATGATTTCACCCTGCGCGCGGCGCTGGGTCCAGCAGAGCGTTCAGTGCCATGGGAAATCTGCAGGCTTCAGTTTTATGTTGATCTTTTGTGTTGCCTGAATTTAACACGCGGGCTTGGGCGCCATCTCCTGGTCGAGCACGCGGCGCCGCGTCCAGCGTCGTGTGCGAGTGCGTCGGCACCCATGCGGGTGATTCCTTCGCAATGTTTGCTTTTGTTGCGTCCCTTGCGTTGCCTCGACCGCGCAATATTGGAGGCCGCCTTGCGTCGCCTTAGAGGCCCCGAGAGGCGCCCGACAGGGCTCTCAACCCCAAGGCCTCCGCAGACCCCATGACGTCAGGAGCTCTGAGCGCCGAGGCCCCCAGTGTCAACGACGACGGTGCGCGCCTCTGACGTTCCAGGCTTCCGCTGATGTTCCGTGGGCTTTGGCTCCAGGATTCCGCTGATGTTCTGCCTCGTCATGCGCCGACTGGGATCATGGCAGACGGCTTCCACCGGGTGGCTTTGCGCCTTTGGGCGCGCCCATTCCCTGCGAAGACCCACGCCCACGACTGCCCCTCGTTCGGCCCGTTGAGTGGCTCTTCGATTCCGGACGTGCTCACCCCTCATGGAAACCCACGCCCGCGGTGGCCCCGCGACCGCCAGCACAGCCACGAGCGCAGCCACCAGCGCGACCACCAGCGCGAGCGCCCACCAGCGCCATCCCCGGCACGACCGCCATCATGACGAGCAGCGCGGCCACCAACCCACCCGCCAGCACGATGTCCAGCGCGAACGCCGGCGCGACCATGGGCGCCACCGCCGACGCAGTTGTCCTCCGTGATCTGTCCTGCAGAACAGCGCCCCGATGTTCCCGGTGCCGTCGAGCTCGCGCCGCACGTCATATCTGCGCCCCCATATCCATGAGTTTCACAAGCGCATCACACTCTGTCGTCCACATAGCGCGGCGGGATGCCAGATCTGCGCTCCTGGGTGAGGGCAGGATGTTGTGGCGAAGCGAAACGAGCCAACAATATCGAGCATACGCATATGAAAGTTTACCTTTACTAAACAGGTTTTCGCAACGAGGGCGTTCAGTTGTCAAAGAAGCTTGTGCCCGCGCTCGTTTTGAATCTGAAGACGCCCGTTGGTGTTCCTGCGTTTCCATAAAGTGTTACCACGCGGGCCTCTTGCGCGCGCATGTCGAATTCGCTCGAGCACCCTTGCGCGCGTGCTGTCGCAGGAGTCCTTTGCAAAAGAGGGGGCGAAATGCGCGCGCGCGTCGTCGCGTGCGCATGCCGAAACCAGTCAAACACCATAGGTGCGAATTTCAATTTCGAGTTCTCAAGACAAATTTAAAACGCAAGTTTTTACAATCTGAGTCAGCTATCCAAAAGAAGCCAGGGCGCGCGCTCTGGCGATTGCTTTTATATATAAATACATAACCATCGGTTTTCCAACATTGTCATCACATTCTGCCAAACGGGACTCTCGCGCCGCGCGTCGAACTCATCCGAACGCCCTTGCGCGCGTGCTTGGGGGGAAGGGCGCGACCCGTGTCAAGTACTGCCACGCGGGCCACTCGCGCGCGTCGGCCGCGCGCGCATGTCGAATTACTTCCGAAACCTTTATCGCCGACGCGAGGGCATCGTCATTGTTATCGGCGGGCGTGATCAAGATCGGCGCCGTCATTAGCCTTGCCATTGTGATCGCCACCATCGTCACCATCATCGCTACTTTCACCATCGTGTCTACCATTGTCGGCGTCGCCGTGATACCGCGCCTGCCCATGTCACCGACTCGCACTGAAGTGCCCGTTGGGAAGTTCCCAGCGGTCAGCGCCACCGCGGCCGCGTCGGTCGCGCCGCACTAGTTGGCCGCTGCTGCGCGCGCGAGCATGCGCGAACGCGGCCGCAGAGATGCGCCAGCCAACGCCAAGCACTCATCGCAATCGCCGTCGCACGTGTTTTGCACACCAAGTTGCCCGTGGGTGGGTGGGATGTTTGCGCGAGCGGTGGATGTCATTGCTCATTGCGATTACGGGCGACTTGTACCACATAGAACGCACCGCACATGATTGTATCACATACATTTCTCCGCGCACATGTATTTCACAGCGCGTACACGTATATACATATGTTTAGTCATATTTTGCACAACGTATACCGCGCATGCAACTTCGCACAGCATGGATTGCGCCACAGAAGCTGCACACCATATATAACCAGAAACACACTGTTTCGGGCCCGCGCTGGTTAGCACTCAGAATTGTTTAGCTTCCGCGCAAAGTTTTTTGATTTAAATATTGCAGCTGCCGCCACGTAGCTAGGGCAGAACAAGGCCTCAAATATTTTCGCTGGTGAGAAACATGTTGATTCTCATGAGTTTTCAATATTTCGACACAAGGCCAAGGTCATCACATTGTCCGTTTTGGCCGGGTCGGCCAGCTAGGTCCACCCTGCGCCCGGATTCCTCTTTTACAGGGGATCCGCCCATTGTGAGTTGCCTGCTGCCAAGGAGCTGCGTAGGCGCTGCCCACGAGAGTTGGAAACGCTGCTAAGGAGCTGCCCAAACGCTGCCTACGAGCCTAACAGGCCCTGTTTAGGAACTGCCAGGGATCCGCGCGCGAGCGCAGGAAGCGTTACACAGGAACTGCGCAAACCCTTGCGGCACGCGTTTTTGGGACGAGTGCGACAACGTTTTTGGGACACGCTGCGCGTTCCAGCAGGCCACTACGGCGCTGCTTGGCCGTCAACCGGGGAGGGGAACCTGGCCTAGCCCTGCCTGTAGGCTTCTGCTATCCAGCCTTTCTAATTCTATACGGAGCCATCCGGGAAGTGTACAGTCAACGCGCCTAGTAAGGACGCGCGCCTTCATCTAGGATACCCTTGCGTCCTTGCCTCTGTGGCCCGTCCTTTGCCGTTTTCACTGGTCGCCGCCGCCCAAAAAAATCCCAACTTCAGCCTCCAAGGGTCTTGCGTCCTTACCACGCGTCCTCAATATACGTTTTGACTGTACTCATGCTGCCGATGGGTATTCTCCCGCCAGGGTGCTTTTTTCTTGCTCGGCTGCTCTTGGGTCCTCTGGCGTCGAGGAGTGGCCATCCGACAGTGGAAAGAAGCAGGTGGGCGCTGGCCGAGGCATCGGTGGATGCCCGCCATGTCAGACGTGGTCGGCGTCATGGGGGGGCGAGCCGATCTCGGCCAGGTTTTCGGGCCTCGCGGCGGGGTCCGGCCCTCGTGTTCTCCCTGCGCTCGCCCCCTCCGAGCGGTGCCAACGCCGAGCGCCGGTCCCCGCGGCGCAGGTGCAGCTGGCGACCGTCTCTGCCGCGGGGAGGCCGTCCGTGCGCACCGTCGCCTTCCGCGGGTTTCTGGCCGCCGACCAGCTCTTTGAGGGTGCGGGCCGCGCGGACCAGGGCGGCGTCGGCACCGAGAGCTCCCTCCTCCTCTTCGTCACGGACAGCCGCGCCGCCAAGATCCGCCACGTCGAGGCCAACGGGTTCGTGGAGGTGTGCTGGTGGCTGGACGAGGCAGGAGCGCAGTTCCGCATCGCAGGGAGGGCGCTCGTGGCGGCCCCGGACAGCCCCGATCCCCACCTCGCGGCCGTGTGCAGGTCTGTCTGGAGCCGCCTCAAAGCCAGCACCCGGGAGACATTCGCGTGGCCCACGCCAGGGCTGCCACGAGGCGGCCGAGAGCCAGCCGGCACTGGGGCCGGGTCGGCGCTGGAGGTCTCGGTCTCGGACAGCGACGGTGATCCAGGCCCGCTTGCCGCCGAGCTGCAGCTAGACGAAGCGTTCTTCAACGTGCTCGTTGTGATTCCTGAGTGCGTGGACGAGCTGGTGCTTGGTGGAAGGCAGCGTCGCCGCATATACACTCTGCAATGGAGGGCTCCTGTCGAGTTCGAGTCGGCGATGGCGGCTCCTTTCGTGGACTGCTTCCAGCACATGCAGGCGGCCGCTTGGACAGTGCAAGAAGTCAACCCATGA